TGTTAAAACCTGATGTAGGCGTTCAATGATAAACACTGTCTGCTAACGGTAAGCAGAGATAAGCAATCTGATTGGTTGATGCTTTGGGGCACGACAACTTTGATTTTAATTAAGTGAGAGGGATGAAACCCCGAGTATAGATTAATTATATAATTACTTTGATTAAGTTCGATGATGAGAATTTTCTGCTTCGGCTAAGGAGTGATAAGCAATTTGATTTTTCAAGACTTTAGAACATATAACAACTCTGCTTTTAACTGAGGTAGAATGTTTAAACTTGCTGTAGATGTTCATTAGATGAATGTCTTGACTGAGTTCAATGATTAACATTTTGAGCTAAAGCTAAGCAGAGCTAAGCAATTTCATTGGTCGATGCTTTGTGACAAGATAACTTGGATTCTATCGGATAGAGAGTGGGGAAACTCAGTGTATAGTTGACAACCAGTTTGATTGCTTTATACTTTTGAAAAAAATAAATGTGCTATTAATTAATATGTGTCATCTATTTATTTTTGGGATTTCAGCGGGGGACGTAAGCCTCACTGTCTTTATACGTCTACATTCATAATGTGGACGTCTATTGCAATCGCACCTGTCTGTGTGGGTCGCCTGCAGGGCGCAATTCTTAATGGATTGTTTTGAAACTTTGCATACTTATACCTTATATCCAAATGCTGGCCCCTGTTGGTTTTGAAGTATGCCCCCCTCCCTCCCCAGGGGCAGAGGCACACCCGTTTTTCATGTACAGTTCGCCTTTCTTAACGGATCATCTTGAGACTTTGCATAAATATTCCTTATACCCTAAGGATTTTGGTGCATGCCCAGTCCCCATTTTCTTTGTGTGTCGTCTACAGGCCGCAATTCTTAATGGATAACGTTTCATACTCTATTATTTTTGTTGAGCATATGGAAAAACAATTTGCATAACGGAACAAAAATCTATGCTTTCAATAACGTTATTAATCTTAGGCAAAAAGAGATCATGGCTGAAGAACAACCAAACATTCTTCTATGGTCTTGATATTTTTCAAAGAATCTACTAAAATTTTCAGTTCTTTTTCTCGGTCATGAACTTGCACTAAAATAACCAGTATCGGATACATCCGAGTTATAGTTTTCGTATATTCTAAATCCTTTACATTTAAATCATACTTCTTGGTACTAGGCCTGCAGCCAAAAGGTCCTCCCTACTAAACAAGTTTTACATTTGTGGAAAGCTTTTAACACCAGGAACACAAACCCAGAGAATTCCAAGCAAAATGTTTGCAATAACTGGACTTATGGCCAGATGAAAATTGTGATAATTGTCAAGTATATGTTATATTTATACTAACAATTGTGAAGTTGACGTAAAATTAAATATTGACGAAAACACCAGATACCTTTATCCTATGCAAGGAATCTGCTATTGCAAATCCATTTGGAGGCAGACCACCATTAATTTCCCCATTGACTTCAATGTTAATTCTGGCCTCTTTGCCCACCTCCAACTTTTCCCAAAATTTTCGTTCGACTGAATGCTTTTCACTACAGACAGAGGAACAAATGGTCATGTATTTGCACTAAAATTTGTATGAGGTTGACCACCAAAATTTTGAGATACACAAACTTGAAGAAGCATACTAAAAACATGTAACTAGTTGCCGTACATATCACCGTAGACAACCTGATAATCCCGTTATCCTTCCGCCTCAAAATCATGAATATTACCAAAACCTGGCAGAAAATGTTAATTCAAGCCCTCTTCATCCATTCTAGACCAAAAAATCAACAAAAATGGGCATGCAAAAGGAGAGAAAAGAGACAGAGAGAATTGCTATAAATAGACGATGGCGAAATTTAATGGTGGCGTGTCTCCATTTACGGTAAAAGGAGTTATCTCCCTTTATGGAAAATATCAATAACAGTATTTTGTTTAAAGATTTTTTTTCGATAAACTGAATAGGATTTAACTACAGACAAGGCCTTATATAAATGAAATGAAATGAATTGGGGTTTAACGCCCTACTGTTATGCTCCTATGCTGGGCTAATGAAGACGGGCATACGCCATACACTGTGCTATGAGAGAAATTTTGCTCGGGCAGCGGCGCTATCGCCTACTCTTATATCGAATTCCAACTGCCAAGAGATCTTTTACGAGCATTCCAATGTATACACGGGACCTCGGTTTTTCGTCTCATCCGAAGGACTAGACAGCTGTCTCCGTCCTGCATCACTGACAAGGGGGAACCACGCCGGAAAATCTGTATGAACTTTCTCGGCCAATGCAGGGATCGAACACTTCAACCTCCAGGCTAGCGAGCCAGCGTCTTACCCACTTGGCCACTTGATCGACGCCTTATATAAGTTCAACCTTTTTTCAGATAGGATTTGAGGCTAAAGTTCTAACAGATATTTAACTGAACATATAGCATCTACAGATATTTAGTTTTCTCACTTAAAATAGATATGGCCAAAACTAAATAATACTTAATGAGAGTGACAACATTGTAATGAAGAGAAAATAATTCAAATGGAGTTTAAAGACGATAAGCATACATTGAACGTATTGTACGTGCACAGCTAGTATTCCTGCTTTCCATGCAAGTGTCATCAGTGTGCAAGAGAGCCGCGGTGACTCAGTAAGGCGCTGGCTCACTTAAGGGGCTTTCATCCTGGTCCGGGCCACTCCCTTACAATATTATTTAGGTTTTGCCATATATCTATTTTAATGAGAAAATTACATATTTATAGATGCTATGTTTCAATTCAGATATTTGTTAGGAATTTAGCCTCAAATCTAATCTGAAGTAAAGGTTTACAGATATATTAGTAGAAATACTGTTTTGGGAGAACTTATATGCCCCCCCCCCCCAACACAAATTTGGGCACAAACACCAGAGAATGGAGAATACGACCATATATATGATGGAAATAGAATTGCGTAACTAATTAAAAATAAACAACCATCATAGCTTTGTAGAAAATTGATTTTAGTTAATGATTGATTCATTCAGAAAATTCGAGTGACAAAAGAAAATTTTCAGGCAAATAGGCCCACCCCCACCGCTCTAGCCCCTTACTTGTTGTTCAAACCGATTCAGTTTGCTGAATCAGATATTGTTTAAACTTTTGTTTCACCCCCCCCCCCCCCCATCTGAACGACTGGACATTGTCCTTCCATCCCGTACCACATGTTTGTACATGTATTGACAGCGGTGATGATAACGACGAATAAATAATTAGTTTTGTCTTATATCTATATTTGTTAGCAAATTACACAATTATAGATACGGTTTCAGTTTAAATGTTTGTAATTTGGCCTTAAATATCTGAACTAGAGTTTTACAGCTACCTGTAGTAAAAATAATGTGGGGTCTAATTGAAAGGGTATTTGGGTGTGGGTTTATATTTTAGTAAAAAATTACTGCAATGCAATTTACAAAACTACGGACAGATTCTGGTCCCCATCACTTCATAACCACGTTGCTCAACCAATGTCAAACATATCTGTTTGCTCATCAGACTAGGCGCCCCGCCCATAATTTCTGGGTAAACAACCACTCACCAACCCTCGAAGGCCCCTGGGACCCCACTAACAATATAAAATTGGGCGTGTGTGCTCACGCATAGTCTTTGTTCATCAGACTAGGCGCTCCGCGCATAATGTCTGGGTAATCCCCCGCTTACCAACCCTTGCAGGTCCTTGGACCCCATTAACAAATAAATATTGGGCTTGTCTGCTCACGCATGGTCTTGTGCATCATACAGCACCAGCAGTCACCCCGTACCTGAAATACTGTTATCAATTGCAGACATTTGACAATTATCAATTTTCATCTGGTCCTAAATCGAGTTATTGCAAACGATTCATGTTCCTGGTGTTATAAGCTTTCCAAAAATGTATAGTTTGTTTAGTAGGGAGGACCCTTGTAGCGGCAGGCCCATACCCTCTTCGGACGTTTGGGTAGATTACTAGCCGTATCGAGTTTTATTAATTCATTTTCTACACTTATTTTGAACTGTTCATAAAAGAGTCCACAGGTACAAATAATCCGTATTGTTGACACAAAAAAGTAAACGCCTTTGAGAACCCCGCAGCGTTTTTGGATAATTATTTCAAAAAATGTCACACACTAGAATCACTTCTGAAAAAAAATAAAAACAATAAATTTCAAACAAGTGAATATTTTATGATAATATTAATAATGATCATTTAACCATTATCGAATAATTATTTCAACCAGTTATAATCAAAGTTATCTTTTCCGAAAGTATCGACCAATGAATTGCTTAGCTCTGCTTAGCTTTCGCGGAATATATTAATCATTGCACCCAGTCATGACAGTCCCCTGATAAACAACTACACAAAGTTTGGACGTTCTACCCCAATTACAAGGAAAGTTATTGTGTCAGACATATGGACGAACATACCCATTTAATAGTGCCCAGCTTTCTGCGAAAGGCGGAGGACAATAAAATGCTCAATAAATCATGTACAGTTAACACCCTCGTACTTTCGATAAAGTCATTGTGTTATGAAAAACCGAATTGGAAATTACTCGAGCCGTGTAGAGGGGTTTATAAGGATTCGACTTGGTTAGTAGCAATAACTCATGATTGATGCGCGGCGCTGGATTTGGAGAGACGTTATCCTATCAACACGACAAACACTGTGCCTACACGTTCTGCAGAACTCAGAGGCAAAGAGCATATCCCTCCACCCCAAGAATTCATCTAATACGATGGTCGCCCAAAGTTTTTATGATACTTCGGTACATGTATCGTACTACTTACTGCTATGCACAATTTCATGCTTTACTCAAAGCGTGAGTGATTCTGTTGGGAATTACTTCTTAGTCGCTCCTCTACTATAACTTTTAAAACAAATAAAATGGAAACCGATGTTGTTTATTTCATATTGTAAACCTTTCTTTGTTATATATAATAAAACAAATGTATGGTCTAAACAGGGATCAATATTTTTTTTATTGATTGATTGATTTATTTATTTTACAGCCTGTTATTCCAAAAATGAAATGAGGTTTAACGTCCTGCTGTTCTGCTTGTTCTGGAATAATGAAGACGGACATGTGTCATGCAGGGTACTATGAAGAGAGCGTGGAAAGGCATAGAAAATATTAGATTGTGTGTTTGGGCTTAAAAGCGATCAATATAAATTAGACGATATTGTGATTTGAAATCAAGGCAGGCATACGTCATGCAGTGTGATATGATTTTGCCCGGGCAGCAGCACTATACTCTTATTTCGAATTCCAACTATTAAGTGTTATTTTACGTGCACGCCTATGTGTACACGTTACCTCAGTGTTTTGTCCCATCCGACCGACTATAGGTCGCTCATTGTAACGCGATCCGTCCTGCATCACTGACAATGAAGACCCCCCGATGAATTTTCTGGGTCATCGGGATTTTCCGACATGGTTCATCTTGTCAGTGGTGCAGGACTGAGAACATGACATGCACAGCTGTCTAGTCGTTCGGATGGGACGAAAACAGATTAGTGTACACATTAGCGTGCACGTAAAGATCCCTTAGAAGTTGGAATTCGACTTATTATAAGTCAACAGGATTCAGTCTCTCCGCTACGGGTCCACACAGAAGGTCACAGAACGATGAGAATCAATAGGGTTCACAAGTGCATTATAATTCTGGGATGCTGAATATCATCAGGGTTTACCCTTTCCTCTGCGATCCCACATGGAAGGTCACAGGGTTTTCCCATGCTTCACACCAGTTGGTGTAGAAAGGAATGACGTTCAACTTCATTTTATTGCATTTCCAAATTTAAACAAAAAATCGACGAATGCTGTAAATCGGTAGGGTTTCCTTCACACCAAACTTGAAAAAGCTATAATAAAACTGTAGCCAATATTGCTTTAACAAAGTTTTCAGAAAAAGGGGCATAACTGATTGGACACATGACACTGAATATCGATAGCATCAATCTTCTTAGGACCCCAATGCTTCACACCCAATCTTTAAAAAAGCAATTCAGTTAAAAACGATAGACTCGACCGAGAGAGACAGCATATTACACACACACACACACACACTGAAATGTGGGCGTATAATAATATACCTGAGATGACAAGAAAGGAATGAATATGACCCGGTACAACTTAGTTTACACAGTTAACAACAAGTACACCTGCCTACTGATTGTTTAATATGTGCATACCTATAACGGTAGATATATAGGGAATATATAAGAACCAGGCACCGGTACGTATATAAGATGAATTATTATAGTAAATATCAGATTTATTTAATTCAACTATGTATATAAATGAACATAAATATAAGCTTCGCATATATAACATAATAGACGATAATGGACTCAAAAACTATTAATAATATTTTAAATCAAAGTCTATTTTATATGGGTCAGTCATTGTGTGGTGAAGTGTATATAAAAGTTATATAAAAGGACAGATATATGGAAGGCTGTAATATAACCATAGGTTCGTGGATCACGGCACCACTTAATGAGTATGTGATAGAATACATAACTCTTATTTATTAAAAAGATATTTTAATACTGGATAACATATTTACAGGTACAATTCTACATATGAACGTCATTTGGTTGGGTATAGTAACGTCTATCTATAGCTGCTCCTACTAGGTCCCAGAAAACCTAACTTCTCTGGGGTCGAGGGCAGACCCTCTCCCGAGGTCCGGAAGACCTCTAAGTCTCTACGGGTCTCTCTCCAGGTCTGCCTCTCTTCCTAATTCTCAACTAGGCTTTTTATATCGTGGAGCAATATCTGTTGCGTCAGCTAGGCACGCCATAGTTAATAGCATTAGTAATCAGAACAATGAAAAGTAATTATTAAGATTCACACATCTTAGCTCAAGACAAAAGGTGTCAATACGTGTTAAGCCTAAATCTTATATCATATAGACACTCCGAGTATACATGTTTGTCCAATCCATTACATCTTACATAATACTATATCAACACCCCACACCTGATATAGATTGAATCTTACAATTAATCTGTCAATTAATATATGACCAAAATGAGTTACAAATAAAATATGAATTCAGAATACAATATTGAAATTTAGATCCCAAATGAAATTGTATTACAAGGTTGGTGAAAAACCGGATGGTGAAGTGTATATATAAAAGTTATATAATAAAAGGACAGATATATGGAAGGTTGGTGAAAAACCGGGTGGTAGTAACGGTAACGGTCATTTTAGAAAATCGTAAAACTTGATAGCAAGTAATATGACTGTATAACTTCTTAATGGTGAGCACTGTCGATGTGTGAAATAAGAAAGAGAGAGAGGGAGTAATGTCGGGAGTAACATTTGATTCAATTGGACTGAAAGTGCAAGCTGCATAATACTCTGCTCCTTTCCTCTATATTTTAATTTGCAAACTCGAAAAAAATCCTACTTGAACATGACTCACCGGCGCCATTTGCCGAGATCTTTGAACAATATTTTCATGACAAAATATCGAAAATACGATAAGATATAATAACAACTCGAACATCATAAACAACACCATCCTCACCTCACAAAGACGTTTCGTCTGCCACTTTCTGCACCTTCACCTACCATTCAGAACCTAAACCCCGTAACATCATCAAGAAAACAAAAAACAAATCTTGTAACCCAGATCCATTGCCTACATGGTTACTAAAGAACCTTATCAATGTGTTTATTCATCCTCTGTTAGCAAGGGAGCCACGGTGGCTAGGTGGTTAAGACGTTGGCTTACTAGCCTGGAGGTCGGGTGTTCGATCCCTGCATTGGCCGAGAAAGTTCATCTGGATTTTCCGACGTGGTTTCCCCTTGTCAGTGATGCAGAACGGAGGGCCTGACAAGGACAGCTGTCTAGTCTTTCGGATGAGACGAAAAACCGAGGTCCCGTGTATACATTGGAATGCTCGTAAAAGATCTCTTGGCAGTTGGAATTCGATATAATAGTAGGCGATAGTGCCGGGCAAAATTTCCCTCATAGCACACTGTATGGCGTATGCCCGTCTTCATTAGCCCAGTATAGGAGCAGAACAGTAGGACGTTAAACCCCATTTCATTTCATTTCATTTCTCTGTTAGCAATCATTAACTCCTCCTTTCAAACTGGTATATCCTCAGATGAACTTAAACAGGCCACATTAACACCACTAATCAGGCATATATGACAACAATCGAGCGCTGTTTAAAGGAAATCCACAACTGGATGACATTCCATTTCCTTATGCTTAATCCTGATAAAACAGAAGTGATGTTCGCAGGTACAAGACAGAAGCTCCAACAAATCAGAGAGCGCAACATAACAGTTGGTGGTGGCCCGATTGGGCCATCTGTTAAAGTAAAGAACATTTTATAAAATACACCAACTGAGTAAAAACAAACAATATCTCTCTTTGGATAATCTCAAACTTCTTGTCCAGTCTCTTGTAATATCTAAACTTGACTATCATACTGCAGTATTATACGGAATTCCTGACCATCAAATCCATAGGCTCCCACATGGCCCAAACGCTGCCACAAGGTTCATCACTGGCACCAAGAAACGAGACACATCACTCCCGTTTTGTGTGAACTCCACTGGCTGTCAATCAGTTCCCGAATTAAATATAAAATTATTCTATTGACTTACAAAGCATTACATGGTTTGGCCCCAGAATATATAAAAACCTCGTCATCCCAAAATCCAACCTTCAAATGAATAGACGATCCTTCCAATTCTCTGCACCTAAATTATGGAATTTAATCTCATCTAATAGCAACCTGGAGAACTCTGAATCAATTGACATATTCAAACAGACTCAAAAGGTATTTGTTCTAATTACACTTCGGAACTATTCATTTGGTATTTAGGCGCTATATAAATAATTTAATGTTTAATGGTTAATTCTATCAAATGAAAATATTACATAATAGAGATTATAGTTTAACCGCCAGGACTACACGTTTTGATATGCAATACCGGACAGGTATCTATAGGATCTTTGACTAAAAAAGGGATACGGATTTTTTTATACGATTTGATTTATGTATGTAAGACCCTTAGAATCATAGCAAAACAGGAGACGGACAGGGATAGGCCAGATAGGTGTTGAACGGGTAGGCAAACGCGTACCCTACGCCCATGAATGCAGAAACAAAGGAAAATGGAAATGGTTGATAACCCGCGAATCCAATGACATTTCCTACCAGGGTATAGGGATATGTGAGGCTATGTGCCCTCCCTTCCGCAAAAGCGCCCTCTCTTCTGAAAAAAGTGTCCTGGAATTTCGGAAGGGTTTCCTCAAATACTCATAGAAATTCTCGCGTCAATGTCACCGTATTCCCATTGCCCCAATGACAACGTTGTGGCCCCCCTTTCTCCTGCCGCCCTTCTCTTGTTCCAATCAGATCCAGTGATACTACAAACCAAGCGCCTTCAATGTACGTAGATGTATCTTCGGTCAACCCTTCTTACTTTTTGGCTTGTGACTGGTATCAATTTTCTCTGATGTGTGTTCGCAAGTTGCAACAATTTTAGCCACGTATTGAAATTGTCAGTGGCAGACCGGGTAGTTATGGGCCTTAAATGTTTCAGTGGATACACAGATTAATTTTAGTAATTCCAGTCGGGAAATTATGTTCCTGATAATAAACCTGTTATACCGGATGCGTATCCCTGTTAGTAGAAGTGTAGTATTATGAACTTACTATGTTACAGTCTACATTATTCGTCCTGTAGTATTATTATTAGTTATCTTACATTCTTTTCACTAAATATCTACATTATGCGTACAGATATTATGTGTTTGCCTTGTATTATTATATGACCCTTTTTTATCTTACATGATATTGATCTACAGTATGAATACTTGAAGATAATCCCTTGAACTTACAGTAGGTCATATATATGTATAGGATATTAACCTACCCGAGGTTGATATGGTAGAGAACGCGCGGGCGAAGCCCAAGCGTTCTCTACCATATCAATCCGAGGGAGAGTAGGTTTATATCCGACATATATAACGCCATTTCACCCTTAAATTTAATGGGCTCTTCCATTAAAAGGCAACAACGATTGGATAATTGCTCGATAGTTTCCGCCAAATAGCGAAAATTACCGAAGTAATTACGTGCATGTTTTTGTTTATACGTCGCCATTTTGGACTATTGAATTGAAAGCAAAAACAAAAAGGATAGTATATATGAAGTCAGACGAATAATCAATCCTTTTTAGCCAACATATTGACGATGGAATAGATGTGAATGCAAATATCGACGAGGATCTATCCAAAGCTTGCAGAAAATTTGGACCAAAAGGCACTCTTTTCCAAGAATTCTGACAGTGAACCATGATTGAAGGTTTTCGGTATGTTCAGAGAAGGATTTGACCGACTGTTTTAAGTGGGCTGTACCCAAAAATACTTTATAAAGGAACTCTTGGGCGATAAATACTTTCAAGTCTTGTAGTGTGTGGAGAAATAATCGCAATGTGGACGAAAAGAAAATTCTGAAAGATGTCTTAGACATGGATAACCGAACTAAATACATGTATGTCGATAAGTACGCAGTCTATTTCGGTCCTGAATGTTAGAAACTGTACCATAAAAAATTTAATTGTCAAAAGAATAAAAAATTATTTCTGTGGGTTTTTTTTTGTATTATTTCGATCATCTACGTCATCAGCGGTTGATATGAGCCGAATATATTGACCTGAGATGACGTCATTAGCGGTTGATATGAAATATCAACCTGTCATGACGTCATCAGCGGTTGATATGAACGAATGTATCAACCTATGATGATGTCATGACAGGTTGTTATGAGATATAACTGCTATGGACATCAAAGTAAAAACTACCGCCAGTTGTATATATTCAACTAACTGAACTTCGTAACGAAGAATGCATTACTTTTATTATTATTATGACATCCTATTTAAGGTACGCGCTTTCATATTACGAGGAGCCACGGTGGCTAAGTGGGTATGACGCTCGCTATCCTGGAGGTCGAGGGTTCGATCCCTGCATTGGCCAAGAAAGTTCATCGGGATTTTCGGACGTGGTTTCCCCTTGTCAGTGGTGCAGGGCGAAGGCCTTGGTAAGGAAGACTGTCTAGTCGTTCGGGTGGTATGAAAAAGCCGAGGCCCCGTGTATATATTGGCGTGCACGTAAAGGATCCCTTGGCAATTGGAATTCGATATAAATGAAGGCCATTATAGTGCCACTACCCGGGAAAAACTTCCCTCATAGCACACTGCATGGCGTATACCCGTCTTCATTAACCCAGTCGTAGCAGAACAGTAGGACGTTACCCCATTTCATTTCCAGTTCAATTACATAATACCATTCAAACACGTTTTTTTTTCTGTATCGATCCTGGATAAATCAATAATCAATGCCAGACAACTAGTTAAAATACCCATGTTAACATGCCACGAGGCACAATATTCGCCTAATGATTAATTTATTTCAAAAGAAATATTCACGATTTTAAATTTAGAATATGAAAGCCTGCAGCAACAACACGCTCGCCATACAAAGCTATTATGAATGTCTTTCGCGATAACGGGTGACCCTGTTTGTTTAAATGACAAGTGTAAATATCAACAGACTCCCGAACATACTCATATTTAATGTGTGCAGATTATGAAAAGACGTCGTAAATGAAATGAAATGGGGTAACGGTCAGCCTTTGGTCTAATGAATATGGACATACACCATAGTGTGTGCTATGCGTGGAATGTTGCCCGGACAAGGGGTCTTTTACGTGCACGACAACGATTTTTCATCCGGTCCGATCAACTAGACGCTGCCCTTGCCAGACCTTACATTCTGCAACTCTGACAAGGGGACACCATACAATGCGCATTACCCATAATGGTGAGAATTCCCAAATGTGCAGTGACAGGCAAGAATAGCTGTGATTGATTAACACTATTGGCAAATGTAAAATATTGCACAATACAGATATACGGCTTAACAACCACACGGAAACATTTTATGATATACCTTACCCAACATGTATTTAGTAACCTGAACTAAACTGTGCATAAAATGAATTCGTCCGTAGGATATGGTACTTGTTCATAACATATTTCATATCATACACCTATACATCTATGGAGTTGACAATATAGAATAGTTCGTAAGATATGAAATCTCAATTCATAGACGGAGAGAGCGAAGCAGGCAGGATGGATTCGTCAACGAAGGTGAGACATCTACCTATGTAGTTTACATCTTACCATAGCCTGCAACGTACCAGTATGATCATGTATGGTACAGAATTTTGTATACATTTCCCGATGATCGACCTATTATACTCAAAGTGTGTCCTGTCCTGTTTTCCAGTGAATATAATTTCCATCATCAAGAAACTATCTTACAGAGATTAACACTCAACGATAAATTAATATTCAACATGGTCCAGTTTTGGCTCGCTCTGGAACACCTGATACTGTGCTTCGCTTTGTCTAACCCCTGCTAGCAATACTTTATTTCGAACAGCGCCAATCTGATTAAAATACAAATCTATATTTCGTTTCGTTTTTTTATTCTTTCGATGGCCTTCACTGACCGGTTGTTGCGATAGGTCACGTCAGAGGTCACACGAGAGGCTTTTGACCCTATGAGGCCAGACATTTGATTGATGTTACTAGTGGATTACCCACAGTTCCTTGCAAAACACGCCTAAATCTCGGTGTAAAAGACCGTTTCATTGGCTAATCTCTCACACCATTCAGAACACGCCAATGATAACAACTCTTCCAGTCCAGATCCTAGTGTAGTAAAGACAAGTAAACCGAAATTTTGAACTATAAAAACGAAACGAAATAGGATCTGTGTTTTAATCAGATTGCGAACAGCGCTGTCTGATTGTTTTGCTGCCCCAGATGTTTAATCAAGGCATGGTTTGAATAACAGTCTGCAAAGAATAATAAATTCGTATTGTTCCACATTAAGTCAAAATATTTTCTATGCCTTCAACAATTTCGTGTAATCGACAATGATGAACCTTACGTCAAATTACGTAATGTGTCATTTTCTATGCATTGTGTGCTTTTCAAGACCATATAAATTGTTAACATAACAAAAGTAGATTTACCACCTATTTCTATTTCATTGGCTTTAAAAGTAATAGTAGACCGGCGAAGAATTGATTCCCAATGGAATCGCTCACTTCTTGAGTAAAGCATGAAACTTTTCACAGCAGTGAGTAGTACGATACCGAAGGATCATAAAAAAAATGGGCGACCATCTGATGAGATGAATAGTTGTTATATTATTTCCTCCACCGGTTGTGACTACAATAGTAAACAAATGGTACCGTTTCTGGCATTTTCAAACCCATGCTGAAGTACATGCGGTTACTATACAAGAGACGAATATACGTTTATAACTTCTCTATCCGGTTTTGTCAAGACTAGACTATTGCAATAGTCATAGCCTGATATCTCCAGACGACTGTTACATATTCTGCAACCCGAATCATGGGTCCCTACCCAGGAACATTTTAGCTATAACGCCAGTGCTTCTAAAATCTTAAGCGATATAAATGTACATATAATTATTATCGCAGCGCCTGCGTATCTACAGATTTTGGAAGATTTGGAGTAGAGGTCAATATAATGACCTTCCCATGTTAACAATATTTAAACATTTGGTTTATCATAACACAATGAGTTTATCGAAAGTACGAGGGTGCCAACTATTAATAAGAATAGGTAAATGGGCGTTGCCATTATTATTTTAAAATATTATTTTTGTTATTTCAGAAATGGTTCTAGTGTGTGGCATTTGTTGGAATCATCTTCCGAAAATGTTGCGGTTTTCTAAAAGGCGTTTCCTTATGTTTGTGTCAGCAATCGGCATTATGTTTACCTTTAGATACTTTTATAATCAGTTCGAAGTAAGTGTAGACAACGAATTGACGAAACGCGATACGGCTAGTAGTCAACACAGAAGTCCAGAACGCAGTAGCAGGAAATATGATTTAAATGACACACACGATTTACAAAAACTCTTCGATGATTTCAACAAGGATCAGAAAATAAGAAACTCAAACTATAACTTGGATTTATCGGATTCTGGAATTGTTATTTTAGTGCAAGTTCATGACCGGGAAAAAGAATTGAAAATGTTAGTAGATTCTTTGAAAAATGTCAAGGACATAGAAAAATGTTTGGTCGTTTTCAGCCATGATCTCTTTTTGCCTAAGATCAATAACGTTATTGAAAGCATTGATTTTTGTTCCGTTATGCAAATTTTTTTTCCATATGCTGAACAAATAATGAAAAATAAATTTCCAGCAGATTCAGCGAGTGACTGTCCACGCGACATAGGAATTGAAAAGGCGAAAAAAATGGGATGTACCAATGCCGATCATCCAGACCAGTACGGGCATTATAGAGAAGCAAAGTTTACACAAACAAAACATCACTGGGTTTGGAAACTTAACTTTGTATTTAACAAGATACACAGGTTAAAGGATTTCAAGGGTTTAGTGCTTAGAATTGAAGATGATTATTATCTAGGTCCAGATATATTGGCTGTCATACGAATGATGAACCAACATGAAAAAGTCAGTGGCGGCTTAAACATAAATAAAATATTGATAATGGGAAATTATGAAGATTATAATGACAATGAATATTTCCGTGGCGGAGACAGGTTTACGTCCGATTATTGGCACACTGGAATAGGGAGGGGTATGACCTTTAATAAAGATCTGTGGCAAAAGATATCCAATTGTAGAAAAATATTCTGCACATTTGACGATTATAACTGGGATTGGAGTCTTCAGAAATTGATAGACACTTGTTTGAATGGATTATTTGTTTTAAGGCCAATCGGAAGTCGTGTGTTTCACGTCGGTAAATGTAACGGGTTCCACAGACAAAATCTTTGCTCTTCTGATGATATTTTATCGAATATCACGAATTATTTAAAACGACATCACCTGTACATGTTTCCCCCAAAAATGATCTTCATTAATGATAACCCATTTCCGCGAAGGATGTACCATCAGGTGGGGAATGGGGGCTGGGCTGATCCAAGAGATCACAATTTATGTTTGACATTGTTTAACAACAGTTAAATTGTAAACTTCTGAAGAACAAAATGCAATAAATGAAATAAAATAGGTTTTCGCGTTCTACATTTGTGCTCCACCAGGGCTTTTGAAGACTGACATGCACCGTGCCTTAAGTATTGTTTCCCGGCCTACTCTTATTTTGGGATTCCAATGTTTCATGGGTTCTTTTACGTGCAATGGAACCACCAGGCCCTCCACCATCTTGAATGTGCCGCGGAGAGTCACATATGTATTCATTACCACCAACTCATCGTCATGTCATCTACATAAAAAATGTGATCCGGCGTGTTGCTTTTTGTAATCGCTGATATGAAAGCTATAAGAGCATAAATTACATGTGTGTATATATATATATACAAAAAAATAATTAAATAAAATATGGACTAAAGACTGACTGAATGTTCAGCGCTATAGAAAACGATTATTATTATTATTTGTATATATTTGTAAGTACTTTCCATTGTATATATTATTTGTCTGAAAAGCATTACCGAAAGTACTTACAAATATATACAAATGTAGTTCTGTAGTCCATATTTTATTATTATTTTTTTTGTCTATTTATTACCCAAGAGCAGTCAACTTTAACCTATTTTTTTGTATATGTATATATTAAATTGTATAAATGTATTATATTGTATTTCTATAAAGATATTTAAATTACTGTTTGTAATAATATTGCTAGAATTTTTGCTCTTGAAATAAGATGCCTTTATATTTCATTAATTAATATCTTTGGCAAGTTAGTAATTTCAAACATATTCACATATATAGTGTGCACTAAATCAACTTAGTCTGTAATTGACAGTTGACACATAAAAAAGAGTTATTTATCGAAAACATATGTCACTCATTTACCACCAGGATTACACGTGAGTGGAATTATTCTAATTGCATCATTTAGCTTAAAGTAACCAATCATATCGTTAATTACACAAGTTCAGGGCCATGATCACACTTGATTGTGCGTGATATTCATATGGTTATAAGAGAAACCGGGGAACCCTGTAAGTCAGACTTGCATTAGATTCCAGAGATCTGGAACTATAGGTGAACTTGTTCCACAAGGCTATACAATCAACCATGTGACGAGGAAAAGGAGAGGCGGGTGTGTGGCTATAATCTGTAAATCCACTATTAAAATATTAAATCCTAAAAGTGCGAAGTTTGACAGTTTCCAATTACTAGATGTAGCCCTTTATCGCTCTCCAACTAAGTCCATCCCAAATTTCTGTGAAGAATTTTCTAATTTTTTAAGCCAGTTATCAATAGCCAATAGCGAGCTAGTGATACTCGGTGACTTTAATTGTCACATTGATCAGCACTCCAACGCATCGACACGTCAATTTACAGACTTATTAAACAGTCATTCCCTTTTACAGCATATTACTGCATCAACCCATAGAAAAGGCCACATATTGGATTTGGTTATCACAAGAGAAGATAGTTCAATACAATTGGATAATATCAAAGTTGAAGATTATTTAATATCTGATCATTTTCCTGTTCACTATTCCAAAACCAAAATGTGCAACAAAACCTGTAACATATCGAAAATTGAACAATTTACAAGAAGACGGTTCATGTCAGGAATTAGAACGAAACGGATTTTCTGATATTAATTACTTAAATAATGTTAATTTGAAAGCTGAGCAATATTTTTCCATTTTAAACACGACCAAGGTGTTTAAACTAAGATCGGGGATCACGTGGCTAAGTGGGTAAGACGCTGGCTCGCTAGCCTGGAGGTCGGGTGTTCGATCCCTGCATTGGCCGAGAAAGTTCATCCAGATTTTTCGGCGTGGTTCCCCCTTGTCAGTGATGCAGGACGGAGGGCCTGACAACGACAGCTGTCTAGTACTTCGGATGATACGAAAAAACGAAGTCCCGTGTATATATATATATAAATTGGAATGCACGTAAAAGATCCCCTGGCAGTTGGAATTCGACATAAGAGTAGGCGATAGTGCCGCTGCCCGGGCAAAATTTCCCTCATAGCACACTGTATGGCGTATGCCCGTCTTCATTAGCCCAGTATAGGAGCAGAACAGTAGGACGTTAAACCCCATTTCATTTCATTTAAACTAATTGGTTTAATAATGAGATCCTGGAAGCCACGCCAATAAGAAACACATCTGAACGTATCTGGAGAAAATCAAAACTAACAGTGCACAAACAAATATATCAATCCAACAAAACTACAGTGAATAAAATCATCTCTAAAGCCAAAAAAACATACTATTCAAATAAAATAGAAGAAAGTCAAAATAAACAAAAGGAATTATTTCAAATTACCAAAATATTGTTAAATCCTGACCATGACCAAAATAAGTTCCCAGCCACTTCATCTCCTGGGCAGCTTCCAGGTCTTTTCTCACAGAAAATTGTTAAGATTAGAAATGGATTGTTAGCTGAAAGCGATAATCCAAACACTTGTTTAAATTATGATCATCTTGTTTTGTCAACACCAGCAATTTTAACCAAATTTTCGCTTGTTTCTGAATCAGAACTATCACAGATTGTGAACCAATCAACTTCTAAATCATGCAGTTTGAATCCAATTCCAGCCACTTTTCTGAAGAAATGCTTAAAAACGATTCTACCAGCTATGATAAACATAATTAACAGTGCCATTGAGGAAAAAACAGTCCCAAACACATTTAAATCTGCAATTGTATTTCCCCTTCTTAAAAAATCAAATTTAGATCCCAACCTTGAAAAAAACTATCGTCCAGTATCCAATCTAAGTTTCCTGTCCAAAACCTTGGAGAGAGTAATTGCCACTCAACTCACAAATCATATCTGCGATAATAACACCATGGAACAATTTCAGAGTGCCTACAGAAAGTTCCACAGTACAGTGACTGTTTTGGTTCGAGTGCACAACGATATTCAACTGTGTCTGGACAACCGCGAATGTGCCTTGCTAATTTTGTTGGATTTATCCGCAGCATTTGACACTGTTGACCATAATATCCATTTAAACCATTTAGAATTTATATTTGGAATCTCTGATGACGCTTTAGCACTCCTGAAATCCTACATCACCGACAGATCACAGACAGTGAATGTAAATGGAGTGTATTCGTCGCTACAGAGTACAGACTATCATCTGGAGTACCCCAAGACTCAGCCCTTGGTCCCATTCTTTTTAGCCTTTATACCAAACCACTTAGTGACATTGTTAGGCATTATGGGCTTTGTTTTCATCTCTATGCCGACGACACGCAATTGCATATTTCTTTTAAGCCAACAGAAAGCCATTTCGATCAATCTAAACAGAATATTGAATCTTGTATATTGGATATTAAAACCTGGATGAGTAAAAACTTTTTAAAGCTTAATGACGATAAAACAGAATACTTGTTGCTTGGATCAAATGTTAACATAAACAAATTAAATGACGTGTCTGTTCAAGTTGGTAATTCTAACATTAATCCATCTAAATCTGATAGAAATATTGGTGTTATTTTTCATTGTCAATTATCCATGAAATCTCAAATGAATAATATCTGTAAAACTGGTTATTTAAATCTATGTAATATATGTAAAATTAAGAAATATATGTCTCCTGATGCTACCAAAACCTTAGTTAATTCTCTTGTTACATATCGTATTGATTGTTTTAACTCGTTTCTCTATGGTACTCCAGCTAAACATCTTGATAAGCTTCAAAAACTCTGCTGCTAGACTAATATCATTCACTTCCTATCGTGACCACGTCATTACACCTTGTTACATAATCAGATTATCTGATGTTAAAGACGCTTCCTGCCAACTTGACACCTGTTCGTTATCGACATGCCTGGGGTTCTTGATCTATCTGATTATGTAACGATTATGTAAACGTTAACTTGCTGACATGTTTTATTTAAACTTTCTTTGTCTGATTAGCATGTATCGAATGTTAAACTTGATATGATACATTAGCCAGATGCCTAATAAGATCCTTTGTTTGGAAGGGTTTATAAACCTAGATTAAGAAACAAATAGACAGACAGGTCCGGCCAGGACAGGCCACGCAGGTCTGGTGTTAAGACCGGACAACGGCCATGTAATGTAAGTTAGTTGGGAGTTGGCACACTCGTGCCTAGCCGAGCTAGGGCCATGGCTCCCTCAATACAAGTTAATTACGGAGTCTTAAGATTTGTACATAATGTTAGAAGAAGCAGAGAATAAAAGTAATATTATATGTTAAACTAGTCTTGTCATCCAGAACTTGATTAAAGAACCAATACTGCCACAACCTGTCCTCTTCAAATTACATTGGTTACCGGTTGTATATAGAATAGAATATAAGATTTTACTTTTAACTTTTAAATGTTTAAATAATATTGGCCCTTCCTATTTTTCAGATATTTTACAATTTTTTAAACCTAGTCGTTGTTTACGTTCTGCTTCTGATGAATATCTACTTGTTGAGAAAAAAGCTAATTTGGAATCTTACGGTGAGAAAGCCTTTTCAGTCGCCTCTTCCAAACTCTGGAATAAACTCTCACACACTATGTGCAGTTGTCAGTCCCTACCCCATTTTAAACGTCTGCTTAAGACCCATCTTTTTAAAAGAGCTTTTAATTAGCTAGCTGATATAATATTTACATGTTCATTTTTTATTATTTTATTTGTCATTCTATTTGTTTGTAACTTTATATTTTATTTGGCAGTCACTTTATATTTTATTTGGCAGTCACTTTATACTTCATATTGTCATTTTATATTTTATTCGACTTGTTGCAATTATTGTAAAGCGCTACTGAACATGTATTATGTATTATTTATTATCAATAGATTTGGGTTATATGCTTTGTTGGATAAAGTGAGTACACCTGCGCTGAATACCTTAATATTTAACCTATTTATCTTTAGGAAAACCTGTATGTCTGTCGTATAATAGCTAACATGATAAATATATCTGCCAAGACAGATATTATACCGTACATATAAATGTATATGATTTAAGGGTGTTACAATAGACGACATATGTTACGAAAGAAGATATACAGACATGATGATTCAGAGGGCGTTGGTCACGATGAGCTGTGTTTTTATACGCCCACATTTTCATGTGGACGTATATTGTTGTCGCCCCTGTCCGTCCGGACGTCCACAATTTGTTTGTGGACACTCTACGGGTCACAATTCTTATCCGATTTTGACAAAACATGAAACATAGGTTTATCTCCCAAAGATCTCGGATTCTTTCGATATTGGCATGTATCGGATCGAAACTTCATGGATTAGGGCCCCTGTTTGTACGATAAATCATGTTTTAGCTTGTTGACACTATAGAGGTCACAATTTTTATCCGATTTTGTTGAAACTTGAAATGTAGGTAACCCAAAGATCTCGGTTCCTTTCGATATTCGCGCATATCGGACCGTAACTTCCTGAATTATGGCCCCTGAGTGTACGAAAAATCGCGTTTTTAGCT